GGGGGGGGGGGGGAGAAACCAGGTCCACAGGGAGAGAGACTGAGCTGTTCAGATGGTGTTAGAAATAAATGGTATAAATAGCACTAAAGAGGTTATTTGGGACCAGAATTGTAGCCTCAACCCTGCAGAATGCACAAATGAGCTTAGTTTCAGTATGTGCCCACTGTCCAAATTTGCTTTAACCAGTGTTAAAGCACAGGGTCTACTGTTTTTATCTATTTGTAGCTCACTGATTTGTTTCATGTGCTTAAATCAACCACTTTCATTTGAGAGTAACGTCAGAGGCATTTTATTTACTGGATTCTCTTTAGAGTTCAGTCCCACCGTGTAGGCCGATGAACATCATCCATTAGGTAACACAGATTCTGTTCGTGTTGTCACACGTCCTGTCATAACCATGAATCACCGATGACATTACCCCATCTACTGTATTGCAGGAAAAGCAGCGCTTCCTGACGGATGTTCTGCATGAGGTGATGCTGCTGGACGGCTTGGCCAGTTCCCATCCAGTGTCGCAGGAAGTGCTCCAGGCGACAGACATCGACAGGGTGTTTGACTGGATCGCCTATAAAAAGGTGGGGCAAGATGAGACCCCAGGGTCAACTGGATAGTCCACTAACCTGGGGTAGCCAAGCTATTTCATGTTAGATGTGTTATATTTTTCACTTCTTCCTGGCTGATAAAAATGGATGGTGAGTTAGAAAACATAGAGTTACTAGGTTTGTGTCATTTTTATGAATTAGGGCCTAGCTTTATAAATCAGTAAAATGGAGATGAATGTTTCCCAAATAATGCATAGAAATATTGGGAGCATTAATGATTAAATGTTTGCAGACTCGATATGAAATTGCTGTACAAATGGAGTTATACAAGTGTCAGTTTTATTATTATTAATAAGAGAACTGACCTATATAGTGACAAATTATTTTTCATGAATGCCCCTTAAATACTTATTTTGATTGACTGATGCCAACAGGTGTAGGCAGTGACATGACATGTATTTTACAAACATTGTTTAAGGGAGATTTGGGGGATTAAGCATGTTTCCTGGATTGTAAGCATAATAAATTAAAATTTAAAGACTAGACTTCGAATGGCAGAGAGTTTTGGACCAGTGACCAGACATAAAAATGCAATACACTCTGAAGTTTTCCCCACTGTTACTTGGATTAGGATTTTCCTTATAGCTCTATCTTTTAGTTCTAATTTTGGTATGAGCACGTACCTCTCAGTGTTAGACACTTAGTAGCCATTTAATAATAATTAAAATAGTGGTAAAGTCTGCTTTATCGTTGGTGTAGTGCAGATTGAATTGCATTTATGGGATTTCTATGTACTTTATTGATTTAATAATGTAAGTTTTTAAAAAATATTAAAAGCAAAATATTCATTTTTCTTAAAAGCAAAATATTTCTAATTTTAACTAGAGATCAAATGATTCATCAGAATTCTTTGGTGAGGTAATTGAGATATATGGTTTTGCTTTTAGGAAATGATTATCTCAATGATTATTAGTTAATATTGTATGTTATACTATGTAAAAATACAAATTGTACTAGAAAATATCTTTTCAAGTTACCGGTCATCACAATGGCTCATAAAGGGTGTTTTTGATGTTTTATAAAAATAAGTTGAAATGTAGAACTATATTTAAACTACATTAATATATTGAAAATATTCAATAAATATTTAAAATATATATTACTTTTTATATATGAGGTTTTTGGCTAGATTTTGATGGATGCACATTCAGTTCCTTAAACTGTATAGACTCTTGAAATATAATGCAGAAAATAATTTATTAAGATAGCTTGAGATGCCTGTAGTTATTTCTTACCTACCACCAATTCTAAGACTATTTGTAAATAATTTACTTTAGGATGAATAATATCAGGAAAATATTATTTTGAGTAAATATGTATAGATGTGCTTTTACACATAAATGATATCTATTCTAGCTTCATTATATCTGAATAATTTCAAATTTATTCAAAAAGGTTAAGGTCAAAACAGTGAGGAAGAATAAAGATACAGTAATTATTATTTTTACCCTCTCTACATTTTGGTGCAAAGGCTTGCCATTTTACAAATGTGATAAATGAGCAAACTCTGCCACCATTCTTAGGACCACCATTATAAAGCATACTTGCTTACTTGTCTCTAGCCATATATTTTTTAAAACTTTACTGAGGAAATAATTGACAAATATAATTATGTATATTTAAGATGTACAATGTGATGGTTTGATATACGTATGCATTGTGGAATGATTACCAAAGTCAAGGTAATCAATCATCTCACATAGTTAACTTTTCTTCTGTGGTGAGAATGCTCAAGATCTACTCTCAGCAACTTTCGAGTATTTGATACCATGTCATTAACTATAGTCACCAAGATATACATTAGATCATCAGAACTTCTTCTTACTCCTAAAAACGTGTACCCTTTGACCTATAGCACCCCATTTCCCTCTTTCCCTAGCCCTTGGCAATCATGATTCTGTTCTCTATGTCTATGAAGCTGGATTTTAAAAAAATTCCACATAGAAGTAATACCGTATAATATTTGTCTTCCCCAGTCTGGTTTATTTTACTTAGTATAATGGCCTCTAGGTTAATTTATGTTGTTGCAAATGGCAGGATTTCCCTCTTTTTATGGCTGAATAATATAATTTTCTATATGCATTCATTCATTGAAAAATTGTTTTCATATTTTGCCTATCGTGAGTAAATGCTAAAAGTTACATGGGTTTGTAGATAGTTTTTAAGATACTGACTTCAGTTCCTTTGGATATATACACAAGACTGGGATTGCTAGATCATATGGTAGCACTATTTTTAATTTCTTGAGGAACTTCCATATTGTTTTCATAATGGCTGTACCAATTTATATTCCCGGTAGCACTGTATAAGGGTTCTCTTTTCTTCATATCCTTGCTAGCATTTGTAATCTCTTGTCTTTTTTGTAATAGCCATCTTAATGGATATGCAGTGATAACTCACTGTGATTTTGATTTGCGTTTCCCTAATGATTAATGATGTTAAGCCTCTTTTCATATACCTGTTGGCCGTTTGTATGTCTTCTATTCAGGTTCTTAGCTCCTTTTAATTGGATTATTTGTAATTTTGCTATTGAGTTGTATGAGTTCTTTGTATATTTTGGATTTTAACCCCATATCAGATACATGGTTTGCAAAAGTTTTCTCCCATTCTGTACTTCACCTTTGCAGTTTATTGACTGTTTCTTTTGCTGTGCCAAAGCTCTTTTAGTTTGATGTAGTCCCACTTGTTTATTTTACTTCTCATTGCCCGTGCTTTTGATATCTAAGTAATCGTTACCAAGACCAATGTCAAGAATACTTTCCCCTTTCTTTTGTTCTGGTTTTAGGGTTTCAGACTTATACTTAAGTCTTTGATTCACTTTAAGTTAATTTTTTTTGAGTAACGTTTGACAGGAATCCAGTTTAATTCTTTTGCCAAGTGGATATTCAATTTCCCAACACCATTTATTGAAGAGACTGTCCTTTCCCCATGCGTATTCTTGGTGATCTTGTCAAAAATTAGTTGACCACATATGAGGGGATTTATATCTGGGCTCTCTATTTTGTTCCATTGGTTCTATGTATCTGCTTGTGTTTTTTTTTGCCAGTACCATTCTGCTTTGATTACAATAGCTTTGTAATATAGCTTAAAATTAGGAAGCGTAATGCCTACAGCTTTGTTCTTCCTCAGGATTGCTATCGTTATTTGGGGTCTTTTCTGATTTCATGCAAATTTTAGGATATTTTTTTTTTCTATCTCTTTGAAAAATACCACTGAGTTTTGATATGGATTGCATTTAATATATGGACCTCTTTGTGTTACATGGATATTTTACGAATATTAATTCTTCTAATTCAAGAACATGGATATCTTTCCATTTATTTGTGTCTTCTATTTTTTCATCAGTGTCTTATAGTTTTTAGTGTATAAATCTTTCACCTCCTTGGTTAAATTTATTCCTGAACATTTTATTGCTTTTGATGATATTATAAATAGGATGGCTTTCTTAATTTCTCTTTCATATATAGTTCATTGTTAGTGTTTAGAAACACAGCTGATTTGTTTGTTGATTTTGTATCCTTCAAATTAATTTATCAGTTGTAACAGTTTTTTAGCGGAATCTGTAGGGTTTTCTACATATAAGTCCATGTCATCTACAAACAGAGATGATTTTACTTCCTCCTTTCTGATTTGGATGCCTTTTGTTTATTGGTTTCTTTTCTTCGATGCTGTGAACCTCCAGTACTAAGTTGAATAGAAATGGTGAGACTAGGCATCCTTGTCTTGTATCTGACCTTAGAAGAAAGCCTGTTAACTTTTCTCCATCGAGTGTAATACTAGCCGTGGGCTCGTTTTCATGTCTAGCCAAGTATCTTTACGCTGTAAGTACCACTGTCCTTCCTCCCTGTTTCCAGGTGATGATAGGATCTATTCAGTCTCAATGAAGACTTCTCAAGAAAAAATTTCTTTTTTTTGAACAGCTATAGTGAGATGTAATTAGAATATGATAAATTGAATATGTTTAAAAGGTACAGTTTGATATGTTTGACATATGTATACACAATGAAAACATCACCATAATCAAGCTAATGAATGTATTTATTAGAAGTTTGATCACACCTTTTTGTAATCCCTCTTCCCATCCATCTTCACTCTTCTATTGATCAACTTTTTCACTATAGATTAAATTGCATTTTCTAGAGTTTTATATAAATGGAATCATACAGTATGCACTCTTGTCTGCCTTTTGTTACTCAACAGGATGATTTTCAGATACATTCACGTTGTATATATGGGTATAATACAATTTGTTTAGTCACCGGAATATTTGGGTTGTCTCCAGTTTTTACTATTACAAATAAACTTACTGTGAACATATGTCTTTGTATGTGTATTTGCTTTTATTTCTCTTGGATAAATACCTAGAAGTGGAATGCTCAGATGATATGATAAGTAGGTTTAATGTTTTAAGGCTGCTGAATGAACTGTTTTCCAAAGCAGTTGCGCCTTTGTACCATGGTGCATTCCCGCAGACGGTGTACCAGGGCTCTACTTTGTCTGCGTCTTCCCCAGCATTAACTAGGTATAACCAGTTCTTTTATTTTAGATATTGTAAGGTGTCTCATTGCAGTTGTAAACTGCATTCCCCTAATAGCTAATGCTATTGACCATTTTTTCATTTTCATGTTTTCTCCCATATGCCTTCGTTGGTGAAGGGTCAGTTCAAATCTTTTGCTCATTTTTTTAAAAACTTGGGTTTTTTGTTTTCTTATAAGGTTTTGAGGGTTCTTTAAATACTCTTAATATAGGTTATTTATCAGACATATGATATGCAAATAATACTTTTCTCAAATAGTGATCTGTCCCTCATTTTCATGTCAGTGTTTTCTAAAAGCAAAAGGTGTTAATTAAGTATATTTTATCATCTTTTTTTTAAAGTGATAGTGCTATTGGTGTCATATTTAAGAAATCTTTGATTAACTCAAGGCTACGAAGGTTTTCCTTTTAAAAATTTTATAGTTTTAAGTTCATAT